CCCCCCCGCAAAAGAACAGGTTTTATGAAGGGGTAGGGTTTTATTTGTCCTTTTTAAGTCAAGCATAAAAATTTAAGGAATTAATTGAATGGAGCACAGTACATCAGTGTCTAAATATAAATATTAAAAATTCCAATAGATCTCTATTACTTTTTAATTTAATTTAGCTCTGCTCCCAAATGCCAGAATGTGTAAATAACTTGTACTGTATCTCTGCAAAAGAGTAATGTTCTTCAGTATTTTTGTCTTGTTTGACCTGGATTCTTAAATTAAGATAAATTAAGATTTACTTGAGAATAGGGCTGCACGATTAATCGAATGCGATTGTCATGCGCATTTTGTTAGTAATGCCGGTTCTGTAATCAGCAGGAAATCATCATCACGTGCTTTCATATTAGTCACGTTGAATCAACGAAAGCAGTTGAATCTTTATTTAGCTGCAGCGATTTTCTGGGTTTCTTCTGCGAGGCGTATTTGGAGTTTGAGCGCGAGAGCGCCCTCTGGCCTTTGGAAGGAGATTTACTGCTGATCACAGAACCGTGCGTCACTGAAAGATACAAGATACAGAAAACAAGATTTTATTCCCCATTGACAGATATTTGTTGTTGCTTTAAGCATGAACTCACTTCATTTTGTTCAGTGTTTTAGAAAAGACTTAATATCTTCAATTTTCATCTCAAGTAAATGTATCTTGATTTAAGGAAGTTTAGATATTTGTATTAGAAAACAAATAAGAATACTGAGAAAAATGTAGAGCTGTGACTGTGAATTTATGAATAAGATGTTCTGCTCTGATTTAAGACCTTCTTAGATCTTCATTTGTGAAAGGTCGAATTCAGACTTTAAGACCCTCAGAAACCCTAAAAACAGAGTTTGAAATGACATGAGGATGTATAAATATTTGGGTGATTTATTCCTTAAATTTCACTTGTTGTGTTTTGAAATGCATCAGGAAGATAGCATGCTTTTGTGCACGTGAACATAAACTGTCTTCAATTTTGCTGATCATCAGCCACAATGACACAACTTTATCTTTAAAAACACAGAAGCGGCAAGAAATATGATGTCGGCCGTGTGTTTTTGAATGTACTGGATCTTTTTTATGGACATTTTTATTGGCGTGTTTCTGGGCTAGTTCACACTGACCCAACAACCATTGCAGTTTGGCGTTTGTTGGAACATTGTGCAGTAAACATCAAGTAAGTTACATAACTTTACCATTACAAACATCATAGGTTTAAAGTAGGGATGCACCGATACCACTTTTTTCAGTACTCGCCCTATACCGATACTTTTATTTTTGGTACTTGCCGATACCGAGTACCGATACCAATATTTTTATTGCATTGGTAAATTTTAAAAATATTAGGTACAGAAACCAAAAGAGTATGTATAATGTTAGTTGGTTAATCGGGCAACCCTTAGCCTCAATGACAGCCTGTAGTCTCCTGGGCATGCTGTCATCCAGCATCATGCAAACCTCAACTTCAATGTTTTTTCCCAGACTCGTTTGTTGTGATGTTGGTAGTGCTGGGCGGTATGACCAAAAATTTATATCACGGTATTTTTCAAAATTAAACCGGTTTCCCGGTATATGACGGTGTGTTTTTTTTTTTCATGCATGACCGGGTGTTAACCATATTTTCTACTGATTGAGAGAGGAAATACTGCAGTGTATTGACTTAGAATGCCCTATTTTATGTCATGATGAGTGAATATTGTCAAAAAATACCACACTAAATAGTGACTAAACACGACCAAGCAATGCCAGCAAGAATGCAAGCTGTTATGGAAGGCATAGGAGGACATTCTTGTTAATATGTGAATAAATACTAGCCTACTTAGTTTGATATTTGCCCAATAAATGACAATAACATTTTTAGATTTAAACAATTTTTTTGACAGATTCCTAAAATATTTGTGTTTTATCTTTATTATGATGTGTGTCTAATAAATTGTTAAGCACTATTTTCATAGCATTCAGTTGACACGTTTGTTTAAAGGACATTGGGCAGAATGTGGAAGTGTTTTTTGTCAAAAAAAGAAAGAAATGAGAAGATCCGATTAATCGATTAATCAGAAAAATAATCGGTCAACTAATCGATTACCAAAATAATCGTTAGTTGCAGCCCTATTTCAAACCTTTAACCCACTTGGGAAAATCAACCCATGGCAACAGTTTAAAAGTAGCCCAATTCTGTGGAAAAAATGCGGACTTGGCAACCCTGCATCCAACAAAAGCTACCGGAGTCAGCTTTGACTGATCTCAGGTCGAGAATAAGGAGAGATGACTGACAAGACCATGCTGGAGTATAGCATGTGGTATTAAAGTAGCATATGGAACATATTTTCTGCCTCATTCTGTGACGAGAAGACTCATCAGATCACAAAAGGAAGCATTTGACTGGTGTTGTGGAGTAAAAAGGTTATAATGTTCTCTTTTGTTGGACAACAGGTTTAGAAATGTGAATACAAGGGAGGTTTAGCTTTAGGCATTTTAATTTAAGCATGTTTAGCTTAGTTAACGGAAGGCTACCTGCTGCCATCAGAGCAAGTGTAATTACCGCATTCACGCACTCCTCGGATGCTCTCATTTCCCGAGTTGTGCTTTCAAGTCGGAATGTGAAAACAACATGGACACTCTCGTTACTACAAAGATGTGTTGGATTTGTATTATTAGACCTTTCCGATTTGAGTTCACATGCATTTTCTCAGTCGGGAA